AGAGAGAGAGAAATGAAGAAATGTTCCTGGATCTAAGCTTTTCCAGGTTTACTTTTGTCGTGTTTAACTTTGTCCCAGCCCTGTGCATTAAACCCAGACCAAAGTAGTATTTCTAAAGTTATTGATTTAGTGGGATGTTTCAGCTTTAGCTTATTGGAGGGAAGATGTGGGGCAGAGTATGCTGTTGTGAAGTTGTATTAAACACATATAAAATGCATTTAAAAATAGGTAAAACTCATACAAAGGTGTTACTTTTACTAGTGTGTTGCACTTACAAAGAATTACTGTGAGATCTATTTCAAATGGCCTATATAAAGTTTGTAAATAAATTACAATAGCTCCTATTTATAATTGACATCTTCTATATGCCAAATAAAACACCAAAAAACAGCACAGCCTTTCATGTTAGGAAACCAGTGTGACACTTAGAGCTTGGTCTCAGCATTTTTAGAAACTAGCTAACACTCATAGGTAGACCATGCTATTTATATTCATGGACATAACTCATCTCACTGAACAATAATATCAGATAAAGCCACACTATGACTGTAATGAAGTGAGACTATACAACTTACAATTTTCCCTAAGCGTTGGTACAAATCACAAAATACCAACATTCCTTTCTCTTGAGTACTATGAACTAAACGACTTTTGCTTTGTTAGTTAGAGGTTTAGTTTTTCTCTGTAGCCTGCCATCCTTCTAGATAAGATTAAGATACTCAATCCTGAGTACTTCAATTCCTCAAGTCCCCAAGTTCAGAGCAAACTCTTCCTACTCTGTGTTCAGTAGTCTTCCTTAAGTCACCAAATCAAAGTTCACACACTTCAATTCCTTCCTAATTCCTCTGACTCAGAGCCTCCATAATCTCACCCTCTGAGAGTAATAATAAGCTCCACTTGTTCAGCTACAGGTCTTCCTCCTGGAGTCTTTGTAAAGAGGGGCTTTAACAAGTACTGCTAAAGTCTTTGCATGCAATCAATCTGCTAAGACAAACTCATTGTTTGGTAGGTATTATTATCATTCCTTTTTTTTTTTTTTTTTTTAGATGGGGAGGCCAAAAAACAGTTAATCATCTTCAACACCACGTACCTAGAAAATGACAGGAATAAAGTTTGCATTTGGGTCTAACGGTCATTAAGACACAAGGAACTACTGGAAATTCTCCTGCCCTTGCTGTTCTCCTGGACTTTCCTCTAAAGATTAGGGATAGAGACATACACAGAAGGTCTAGTACAATGAAAATAAACATTAAAAAAAAAAAAAAAGCTGGAGCGTGAAGTTATGAAGACTTGCTTGTAACTAAGGCCATTTCCCAAACAACTGTGCTAATAGCCCCTAGAGTTTCTAATGTTGTTTCTTGTAGTCAAGTCAGTACTGCACTTAATAGTTGTGAAGGAAAAGATGACTTAAAGGAGAAAAGAAAGCACACCCACGTGTGATAAAACTGTTTTAGCCTTTTCACTTGTTGGGTATTCACAAGAAACTGTTTTGTATAGTTTCAGTTGAAGGCTTTTTATTGTAATCTCTTGGTTTTTCAACTCCGTGTTCTTGACCCCTCTTGATACTGTTCCTGCCTTTTATTGAAAATCCCACCACTCTTCTCTCCCCAGTGTTAAGTCTGTATCCTTTCTCTAGCCATCCCAGGTATTCTCCTTCAGATTTAATATCGCCCCTCTCTGTTTTCAATTTACAACATTTATTTGCGTGGCATTTGGCAAAACACATAGGACTGTGAGTGCCTTAAAGATGTGGCATAGAGATCTCTGATTTTTGGTGGGCCCTTCTGCTATCCTAAAGGGGCACTCAACACTTCACACTGGGCGGGGTGCGCTGTAGGTAAGTCAAGAAGCAGCCTTTTCGAGCATGTGGGCTCCACCGTTCCTAGTCTCTCTTCAAACATAGACCCAGAGATAATGGGAATGCAAAACTATTTCCCCAGTAGACGGTACACGGTACCGGCCCTCCCTAAATTGACGCTTTTCACTTATTTATTAAAGATTAATTTATTTATGTATACAAGAACTGCAGTTTGTGACAGGATTCACCAGAGACGGTGGGAATAGGTGGAGCTACTGAAGCACACTGCTGAGGCAAGCAGCGGGTGGGTCAGGAGAGGTCTGCTGTGCCATGTGGGTCACCTCTTTGGCCCGGGATCATGTTGTAGTGGCTGCCATAGCTTCACAGTGCTGCGCTTAAATCGTTGTGCCACCAGGGAGGGCCCCCAGATCCATGCTTTTTAAATGATGGTCCCAAGCGGGTTTCACTGTTTTCCACATGAGAAGGATGCACTTCTCCAAAACCCACACAAGTGATTTCCTGACCATCCCACCCACTGCCCTTCGGGTCCAGCCGGGTGCGCCAGAAGGGCGGAGCGGCGGAAAGAACGCTCGGCCCCGCCAGTCCGCTTTCAAGAATCCGGAAGGGGCGGCTTCCGGGAGTGTCACGGAGCGGGCGGCTCCGGATTGGCTGGTCGCGGCGGTCCGCGGTGGCGGGAGTTTTCGGATGTGTTGGCTGCTGCCCGGGCTGCAGCGGTTGGGCTGAGCCCGGCTGGCAGAAGCCAGAAGGCGAGTCTGCGGCGGACCCCTGGGCTCCCCGCTGGTGGCTAGCAGAGCGTTGGCCTAACTTTCGCCTCCTGGAGCCGGACGGAAGGATGGATCGGCAGCGGCCGCGGCCACATCACGCGACACAGGGCTCCTCTGCCGGGGTCCCCCACGCCTCCTCTTCCTCTCTCCGCGGCTGCCGGGGAGGGAAGGTGCCCGGCAGGAAGGGCCCCCAACACCCGCAGCCGCCCGGCGGCCCCGAGGAGCCTGGAGAGAAACGCGCCAAATTTGTAAGTTTGCTTGGGGCTGCGTGGGGCTCCTTTGGCCTGTGCGGTCTTCTGAGACTCTGGCCGGCGGTTCCTTGTGTTTCATTAACCTGACTTGGCTGACAGCCGGGGGTGTATCCACGGGACCCGGGGCCCCATTTTCCTTTAGCTTTCCTGGGCCGCCAGTCTCTTCATAGATTTGCGAGGACGGGATCCACTTCTGTTTTAATCCTTTGCCAATTTCACTTCCCTCTGTTGCCCAAATTTCTAAGGCTGACAAAGCAGTTCAAATGTATGTGTATTGACGTCACCTAGGTGAACGCAGCATTTTTAAAAGTCGTTCTTCTCCCCTCCCCCTTGTTTCCGAGGATATGAGACTTTTCAAAGTGAACTTTTAGATGATAGTATTTCTTTTTTTGCTTACAATTTTAATAAAAAAATACTGTTAAAGGTAGGTAAAATCTTAGGTAGTTGTAATTACCCAAAGTCCAAACAACTCGTTTTAAAGTTTGGCGGGCATGCAGTCACTGCTAAAGAATGTTTGGTTTAAATTGGAAAGATGTGTAAGCTATTTGAAGCTCGCTAGCTATTCTGGTTACTTCATTTATTCATTGAACACTAAAGGGAAGTGTCATTATTAGGGCCTTGTAAATCTTTTTGATGTTAACTGTGAAGGAGACAGTGGTGATAGTTTTGTAGTGTGTGTAAATAAATCCCATATACAGTTGATAGATTTGGGCTGACTCCAACACAAATGAAAACTGACTAACTCCAGCATTTTCCCTAGGAGAATAACAACGGTTTCTTAGTGCAACTTTGCTTCAGTGAACAAATAAAAACTGTTAGAAAATTATATCAGGATTAATAAAGAGAGTAAAGATTTGCGGATTAGGTAGGAATTGCTAATTCTAACACTTAAAGGTGATAGTTGAATTAAATTAAGAGCAGAACTGACAATGAAGGACAAAATGGATTAATTATGCTAAATTATCAAAGTGGTCATTTGAACGATGCAATTTTGCATTAAGATCAAATATGTACTTATTGATTGCTAGCTTGACAGAGTTGAATAGATAGCATAGGGGTAAATTGGCAGGAGAGAACCTACCCAACATGAAAAGAATCCACTGGACAATTTTTAAGATTTATTTTATTTATTCATACAAGAGCTGGTTGTGGGCCAGAGTTACTGGGGTGGTTTCAGAGGTGCTGGGGTGAGAGGCATAGTGGGGAGCAGAATTGGTAGATGGACTGGAATACACTGCTGAGGGGAGCAGTGAGAAAGACAGGTGAGGTCTGCTGCACCATGTGGGTCAGCTCCTTGTCAGGGGATCTGGGATCTACTCTTGCTGCAGTGGCTGGCACTCATGCTGTAGTGGCTGGCAGTATTGCTGCCTTTAACCCCTGTGCCTCCAAGGAGGTCCCAATAATGATTTTTTATTTTCTTTTATAGCTAACTCTCTGGGCTAATTATGCCATTCATTTGGTCTCTGATTTCTATGGTCCAGAATATAAGGTGTGATTTCTGTTTTTAAGGAACTTTTGAAAACAACCTAGATTAATATTTAGGTGTAATGCCACTGTAGGATGTATCAGGTGATTAAGGTCTAGATTCTGTGTTGGTTTTTATTTGTTAGCTATGATAAATGAATTACTGTAAAGATGAAAAGGCATCTAAAAGACTGTATGTAAGTTCTGTCTAATAGTTATATCTAAAACATTGCATTTGATTTTAGATAAGGGTCTGTTTTGAACCGTGACTTTATAATTCATCACAAGGTAATTTGGAGCCTTTATAATATCTTAATTTAGAATGTTGCTTATACTTTACATATATATATATAAAGTGTATATAAATATATATATATATTTAAGATTTATTTAGAACGAACTCTCTGAGGCGAACTCCCGCTGAGGTGGCTGCTGCTGGCTTGCAATGTGCTTTAATCCGTTGCGCCACCAGGGAGGGGCCTAGATCTAATCTGTTTGACTAGTTCTGGGTATAACAATTTTTATTTTTATAAGTTACATTTTGCTTCCCTCCCCCATTTACTGTTAAAACCTCATAGTCCTTTCTTTCTTATTCATGTATTTCTTAGACATTTCCAATTTGACTTTTCTTATTTGACAATTCCATCAATCTTTGGATTGTCTACATTGGCACACTCTAGGTGACTTGCACTCTCCCTATCTCCTGCTGATCTTTGTAAGTTCACTGCTTTATTTGAATCTGTCTTTCAGGAGGTTAAGTTGGGTATTTTGTTGTTTGGAGATGCTTTGAGTCTGTTTTCACCAGGAGCCAATTTGGGACCACTTTCTTTCTTTTTTTTTTTTTAAAGATTATTTGTGCATACAGAACAACTGGGGTACAGGTCAGAGGCTCAGGGGAGGCGAGAGGATTCACCAGAGACAGAGTGGGGAGCAGAACAGGCAGAACGACGAAGTACACTGCTGAGGGGAGCAGCGGGCGGGTCAGGAGAGGTCTGCCACTCCATGTGGTCACCTCTGGGGCAGGCGGGGATCGAACTCATGTGGAAGTGGCTTTAGCTTCTCAGTGCTGTGCTTTAACCCCCTGCGCCACCAAGGAGGGCTGGGACCACTTTCTTATTGAACAAGGGCTCTTAAGAGGAACTGAGGTTCTAGGGTTAGCTCTAGCTCTGTTCCTGGCTCAAGGCTCAGTATTCTTATTTCAAGACTTCTTTCTGAGAAATACCGTCTCAGGATTCTCTTCGCCGTCTGTCTCCATCTCACTGATTTCAGTCCCACTTCTCTTGTTTACTGGTTAGAGGGTGATCTTTGGACACCATCCCTTCTTCATGAGATCTCAGGAATGCCTCAAAAGAGATTGTTCGGTAGTTCCGTCTGCTGTAGTGCTGGATGTTTCTTTCTCTTGCTTTGGGGTGAAGAAAGGCCAGCTTAAATCTTTTCAGGTCACCTACTTGTTAGGTGACTTAGCAGCTGGGATAGCTGCTTTTGACTAGAAAAAGTAATGTGGTTAGTTATGTGATGTGACTGGGGTGGGGTGGAGGTATCATATAGGTGTTTGGTGTTTGTCCACTCTATAAAACCACAAGCTGTAGTGGAATTGCGGGATGAACTGACCACTTTTTTCTTGTCTTTGCTTAATTAGGGAGGAGTTCTTGTACCCACTAAAATCCTGTTTTACTTTAAGCCCTAATAAAACAAATAATCCATGTTTTCTACTTATTTTATAGTTTGAGTTTCAAGTTATTTTTCATTGTATATAAAAGCATGTAATGTAGACCCTCTTTCCACAGACATATTGTATAAATTAGTATATTGTAAATGTATGGTAGTCTGGGTACAGTGAATCAACTGCTTTTGTGCTATTTATGAACTAAACAACTTTGTTTTAGTAGAAAATATGAGAAGCTGTGAATATTGAGATTCTGGAGATACTTACTGGGGACCGAATGTGATCAGAGGAGGCTAGGGTGATATAGCAGGTACTGGGATGAAGTCTTCCTGAGGGTAGATTGAATCCAAGACTTCCTGAGGGTAGTATTATTAAACATGGTACCTGCCCTAGGTTACATACTAATACCTGCACCTGAGACTGTTTCCCTTCTAGATCAAAACCAAAACCAAATCAAACAAAACACAGAGCTATAGAGTTGCCCTATTTCAGTGATACCAAGCACTTAATTCCTAACTCCCACTAACCTTAGAAACACAGTACACAGGTCAGGTCCCGAGTGACAGCAGGACATGTGGCTTCTGGAGTCTCCATCTCTGTGGGCCTGTCTTTTCAAAGGTTGAAAGTATGATGATCCAAGTTGGCAGAGTAGCTGATCTTTGTAAGTAATTAGGACTGCCCTTTAAAAGTAGTAAGAGACTTTAATGTAAATCTTGCATTTTAATATTATGGTTTCCATTTGAACACATCATTAATTATTGTCTAGTTATGGCATTCTAATGCCTTTAATTTTGATTGTAAGAGACTTTTCACCCCGTGCAGTATTATCTGTACGTCGGCCATCGTTAGTAGTAACAGTTCACCTTTATGATTGAGCTAAGCACTGTTTTAGATGTTTTGTAAATGTCAACTCCTTTAGTCCTTATAACAAGGGTATGTGGGAGTAGTATGATTAGCCTTGCTTGCTAGATGGGAAAACTGAAGTGCAGAGTTTACATTGCCTTAGGTCAAATTGCTGCCAGTTGATGAGGCAGGGGTTTGAAGTGGAGGCAAGCTGTCACAAAGTGTAGCTTTCCTTAGCACGTTCCGGTATTGCTCTCTATTGGGAGTGTAAATCTTTATTATTTCTTTTCCTCACTCAGGAGCCATTAACAATAGTTAGTAATGTCTTTAATGGATATAAATTAGTGATTTCCTGATTATAGGCAGATTGTGAGGTGGGAAGAGGTATGAGGCTGGAAGAACTGCTTATTGTATTGGGAACTGGAATTGAAATCTAAGTGGGCTTGATGAGATTCATGCACATTTGCCTAATGGCTTTGGGCTTATGGGAGGCAGGTGGAGTGGTGGAATAATGATTCCCCCAAAGATATTCATCTTTTAATCCATGGAATCTCAAAATATTATTTTATATGGCAAAAAGGGTACTGTGGGCCCTCCCTGGTGGCACAGCAGGTTAAAGCACAGCACTAAGAAGCTTAAACCACTTCCGCATGAGTTTGATCCCCGCCGGCCCTGTAGGAGATCCACATGGCGTTGCAGACCCCTCCTGACCTGCCCACTGCTCCTCTCAGCAGTGTACTTTGTTGATCTGCCTGTTCTGTTCCCCACTCTGCCTCTGGTGGGTCCTCTCACCCTCTGCATCTCTGGCTTGTACCCCAGTTCTGTATAAATAAATAAATAAATCTTAAAAAAAAAAAGGGGTACTATAGGCGAGTATGATTAAATTAAAGCTAAAAGCCATAACGGGGGGATTATTCTGGATTATCAGATTGGGCCTTGATACAAGCACATGTGTCCTCTTAAGAGGGAAGAAGAGGGATACTTGACTACAGAAGAGAACAGGGTGAGGCGACACCAGGCCAGA